TGGTTCAAACAGGAATTGGAATGGGAATTAAAATCAGTAGAATGGGATTTCATTCCCAAGGGAGGGGTAGGGAATGGCCATTCCCTCAAATGGGGGAATGTCATTTCAGTAGGAATGGGAATGGGATTCCGATTCTGCCCAACCAATTGTATTTATTGTATTTTTTGTGATTCCCTAAAATTAATAATTATATTATTCTAGTAATATTTATTATTTTTTGTGATAAATGCATTCAATGATTATGTATAAATTTATTTTGTTTTGTTATTTAACAGAAAACTTTCAATAACTATTGGAGATTAAACTACTATTATTGATTTTTTTTAAATTTAATTTATTGTACTTATTGTATTTATTGTATTTTTGTTATAACTTATTTATTATTATTTATTAGAGATTAAACTATTATTTGAGATTATACTATTTATTGACTAAGTTAATATATTTTTAGTACTTATTGTATTTTTGTAATTTTTGTATTTTTTCATTATCAATATGTTTTCAATAATCGTGTATTTTCGTTATAAATTTTCAATAATCATTGGAGATTAGACTATTGTTATTTATCAAAGATGAAACTATTAATTTAAATGAAATTATGAGTGTTCATGAGTTGGTCCAGTTCGGCCGTAAGCTATTTGGCCAACCAAATTGACCTGGTTAGGTTGGTGAGTTGGTCAGCTGAAACCGATTGACTAACCTTTTTGTGAAAGCCGACCCACTCAAGTTGTATCAGTTTGGGTTGATTTTTTGGTTTGGTCAGTCGATTCAAAAGATTTAAACTTAAAAATTAAATTTAATTTAAAAATTATAGTATAATTATTAAAAAATCAATTTAAAAATTAGACTTATGATATAAAACATTTTAGACTAAGAAATATGGGAAATTTCCCACTTTTCCATATTAAGAATCCATGGTTAGGTCGTTCGATTTTGGTCGGTTTACAAATTGCCAAAGTGAAGCTGATCCAACTTGGTCGAATTGGGAAATTTTTTAACCAAAGCCAACCGAAAATACTAGAAAACCGACCAACTCGGATCGAGTTGATCGGGTTCGTCAGTTTCATCAGTTTGATGAATAAACCCAATTGAAATTAATTATTTTTATTTTTGTATTATTAAAAGTAGTATATAAAATATGAATAATTATTAATTATTTAAAAGGTTATAAATATAAAACAATTGTATACTCTCTTATGTGTTTCTATTAGGGTCGTTTACTAGAACACACCTTATAGTTTTACATATTTACTTAAACCAACTTTGTAGTTTTCATTTTACTAAAACATCCCATATATTTTACAACTTATTTACTTAATCAGCCTTTCATTATGGAGTGTTTCTTTTGCCATTAAGCCCATGATTTTTTATTTCAAAAATGCTCTTAATACTTTTGTTGTACAGAAAACAAAATTGACCAAATATAGCCAATAGAGTGGTTGCCCGTGTCTTATTAAGGGCAAAAGTGGTATTTTTATTTTTATTTTCTTTTGATTAAATTTATTTAAATGAACATTAGGATCAACACTGTCATTTTTCATTGTCAATGAAAGATTGATTAAATCAATTGCAAATTATAAGTGGTATTTTAGTAAAATGCTAACTGTAGGGTAGATTTTAATAAATCCATGAAATTATAAGAAATATTTTTTACCCTTTCTATTATTTAGCTTTCACTTAATAAATCACAGTGCATCGCTCGGGCCCTTGCTAGTATCATAATTAAGAGGAAAAGCCAGCTCGTTTTAATTCCTAATACCTTATCATATTAATGTGTTATTCAACGATGTCCAATCTCTAGGTGAAAAAAAAAAAAAATCTTTAGGCCGAGTTTGTTTCCAATGTAACGTAAATCTGAACCAGAAAAAAATAAAAATTTGCACCTACTTTAGTTTTGCATCCGTTTGATGGTTATGATTGCAATCTTATTACCTGATGCAAATTTTATACCTTTTTCTTTTTTTTTTTTTATTTGCATCCATTAACAGTGCATTTTTTGTCTGAAAAACTGGTGCAAATTTTGCACCACTTCCGCCTACCTTAATTCTCTCATACAAAGTGAGAAACTGAGAATCACATCAATTTGCTTTCTACCTTATTCCCCCCAAATAAACAACCTTCCTCCAACCTCGAGCCACGTCATTTTATTTCTCATAAACAAACAAAACATGGTCAAATCTGAAGCAAAAGCTAACCATGTTTTACACAGCCAATTTGTATTCCAACACATTTACACTAGTGTAAATAAAATTCACACTACTACAAAATGGAGCCTTAGATTCCCTTGTGTGCAACAATTTCGTTCGCACTGTGCTAACGGATATGGATTAACTTTTGGGCGTAATTAAATGTGACTATGTTTTGGTTTAAGCATAAGGAAAATTTATAATGCCGAAAAGGCATGATATCGAAATAGTTTTGACCAATCAAAACCCATGTATGAATTTTGATAAATTCTACCTGATTGATTAACACATTTTATGATACTAGTTAATTAGTCACAAATTTTTTAGATATCATATCTTTCTGATATAGTAGTTGAACCCTTAAGCATAATAAGGTTATAATGGGTTAGTGTTCATCACAATTTACACTTAGATGGTGTTTGGTATCAATGTAGCTTTTGAAAAAAAACAGTAGCAACTCAGCATTGGAGATGAGTTTAACAAAAAATGTCTAAAAAATTATTTGGTTGAGCCGTTTATCTGATAAACAGTTCTCTCAAAAATCATGTGAACCGTTTATTAGAAAAACATCAATTTTGACGTTTTTCATTTTCAAGACCAATTTTTCATTGTTTGGCCTATATGGCGCCTAATGGCATTGAGGCGTAAAAAAATCGTACAAAACGTTTAAAGCAGATTTTGTCTCATTTTTCAAGACAAAATCGTACAAAACGTTTATCTTATAAATGCCATCGATGCCAAACAACCTCTTAGGGTCCATTTAGCGTCTGTTTGGCATCGATGCCATTGCTCCAGAAAATGGTGGCACATTAGCGCCACGTCGAAAAAAACGGTGCTCCAGGAAACGCTTGTTTGTTTGGAAAAACGGTTCTCCAAGACACGCCTTGGAAATCGAGGTGTGGTTTGCAGCAACGCCAAATTTGGCATTTCTCATATTACAGCTCGTTGCTACCAATGAGGACGTGATGTGGACTTCCTATAATGGGTACCAGTGCTGAAAACAAATACAGAGCACTAGTACCAAACAGAATGTATTGTTGTTGCTCTAGGAAATGTCCTATCTGGCAGCAACGTTTCCAAAAAAAAAAATTTGTTTTCTTTGAAAACGATACTTCCAACCCACACATCAGTAGCATCGTTTTCTAAGAAAATAGTGCTATATTTGCAGCATTGATGCCAAACATATACTTGGTTCACGGGAATTGAGATCTAGAATTAGAACCAGAATAGTCCCATTCCTAATGGAATTAGGGGTGTCAACGGTATTCGAAAATCCGATTCCGAATTCGACAATTGACATAATCAAATTGAATTCGGATAATTCGAATATCTAATCGGTCAAATTCGGATATCTTATTCATACTGAATAGTTAATCGGAATCGAAGTCGGATATGACCTGATTCGATTCGATAATATCCGAACTCGACTGATTATTTAATTCTTATATATAATATATAAAATATTTTATATAATTCATATATATAATAATTAAATTATATAAATAATTTATGCATTTATATAATTAATATCAACAAAATATTTATTTTATATATTTATTAATTATCTAAAATAATTAATTAATCGAATTTAAATCAAATCAAATATTTGAATATTTAATCAGATTCGAATTAGGTTATTGATTTTCAATATCCGTTGGATATCGAACCGAATTCGAATATCAAAATTTCTAATCGAATTCAAATTTGGATATTACCACATATCCGATTCGAATTTGATCCATTTACACCGCTAAATGGAATGGCATTATGCCATTTGAAGGAATGGTTATTCCCTCCCCCTAGTGTTGGAATGAAAATCCATCATAACCAATTCCGGTTTCAATTCGAATCTAAACCCAATAGGTAGGAGGAATAGACCTTTCTGATTTTGATTTTGAGAGATTTTAATACCGATTCAAATTTTG